TTTTTTTGCTTTGTTTTGTTTTTTGTTTTTTTGAATGTCCAGAGGATCAGATTGAACTTTTTTGGATTTTTCTACCTGGATTATTGAGCATGCATCAGGATATATAAAATATAACACCTAAAAAATGATTGAAACAACTCAATCCAATACAAACTGTAAAATGTTTCTATTTTTAAAACACGCATCAGTGATCACACACTTGCGAGGTGCATCGACAGCTGAGGTTCATCAAAACAAACGACTTGTCTATGTGGCATTTCCATTCTCACTGAGAAGAAAATGGTATTGTTGGCTCATGTAGAGATATACCTGCGTCCCTGAATGTCATTTTGTAACAGACCTTTTATTTCTGGGACTGAGCAGTTCATTCTGTAAAGATGTTTCTGAAATAGAAAACAATTCTTCATCCTTTGAACAACTGAGACATCCCACCCCACTTCAGAATCTGGGACAGTTTAAAGTTTGTTTTCAGCATTTCTAACTCTGGAAAGTGTCAAAAGAAGATTTTTATGGTTGGTAAGACAACCCAAGGATCCAAAAATCGTAATAATATTGGAACACCCTTTCTGTGAACCCCCCAAAATGGACGTTTGAGTTAACAAAGATCACTCCAGGATGTGCTGGTACCCACTTGTACCAGCCTCCCCCAGACTATCCCCTCAACAATCATAAATAACCGAAAGCTCCTTCGCTGTTCAAAGGAATTCCAACTTTGACATTTAGGTCCCATTTCTGGCCTGCAAGAAAACGGACATACTTTTTATTCACGTTTTAGAAGAAGTAATACTGTTTTTGTAATGAAATAAGTGTTTAATTGGGTGTAGCTGAATAACTGCCTTGTCGTTCCCTTACAGCTGACAATAAACTGTGTAATACAAAAGTTTACAAACTTGTTTTCTGTTTATAAGTTTGACAAAGTGTTTGTATCGTTTAACCTAATTTAAAGTTGATAAGTGTCTTAAATGATTTTATCTGATGACTTTTTTAACAGAGCAGATTAAAATAATACTTTATTGAGTAGATAAAAGTTCAACCCTTTCATTTTGATTGGTTCAAATCTACCACCTCTTTCAAATCAGAGGTGTGGTCATTTGTTTACAAGAGAGGAAGACCTCTCAGTAGAGAAGAAGAGAAGAAGGGGAGAAGA